CGATTGAGAATTGCTTCAAAGTGTTCAGCCCATCTCTGGAGAATCTGCGTCTTCTCTGTAAGGAGCACAGTACCATCAGAGTTCAAGAGGGGAAAGCTCCCAGAAGACTGTGGCCCATAGTGTGTGTTGAGGGCTTCATAAAACCACTTATAGTCATTCCTGTCCGCATACGCCTGTATTTCATTTGCTTTGGCGCTCAGCCACAAGTCCCGCATTTTGCGCAATCGGTTCTGTACTGTTCTGCGAACGTTCATAAAGGCGGTCTTCTTTGCCGCTGAGGATGGATCGTTTTGATATGCACGATGCAGGCGGTGCTTCTCAGCAAGTAAGGCCTGGATTTCTGCATCATTTTCGTCAAACCAGTCCTGCTGCCTGCATGTGGAGGGCCCCAATAACTTTGATGCAGCTGTATGGACAGTGTTGCGGAATCGCTCCCAGTCTTTCTCAGCGTCATCCTCAATACGAAGATCAGCAAGCTCATTCTCTAGGTCTTCCGCTAGATTTTCAGTGATGCGGCTGTTCTTCAGCTTCGACACGTTGATCCTTTTGAGAGCCTTACAGCCTTGTGGTCGTCTCTTTGGCATGATACGGAGCTTCATTTTGGATACTATGAGCCGATGATCCATCCAACAGTCAGCGCCACACATAGCTTTTGTAACCCTGACATCTTGTCTGTCCCTTCTCCTGACGATGACATAATCGATCAAATGCCAGTGCTTGGAACGGGGATACATCCACGAAGTCCTGTTGCGGGTAGGAAGGCGGAAGACCGTATTGCTGATCAGAAGGTCATGTGCTGCACACGTTTTCAGCAGTAACAGGCTATTGCTGTTGCACTTTCCCACTCCATTTTTCCCGATGACTCCTTCCCAGGCTGCGGCATCGCATCCAACTCTTGCGTTAAAATCGCCAAGCAGAATCAGCTTGTCTGTGCAGTGCACTGACGATAGCAGAGTATCTAGTTCTTCGTAGAATTTATCCTTCACATCCTCTGGGTTGGTCATTGTAGGAGCATATGCGCTGATCAAAGTAGCTTGTTTCCTTTTTGAAGCGGAAGCTGCATTGTCATGAGCCGGTCATTCATACCCTTGGGGGACCTGGCAAGTTTCCAAACAAGATGATTCTTGATGGCGAAGCCAACTCCAGATTTGCGACGCTCATCACTGCTGCGGCCACTCCAGAAGAATGTATAGCCACCGCCTGGCTCGGACAGCTGTCCTTCATTAGCAAGGCGAGTTTCGCTAAGGGCTGCAATGTCAATGTTGTAGCGTGCGAGCTCTCTAGCGACAAGTGCTGTTCTTCTCTCCGGTCTGTCTGCCATGATGTTGTCCAGTAACGTGCGCACATTCCATGTGCCAATAGTGATCGGTGTCACTCTAAGTTTTGTTTATGTTCGACTGCTTTTATGGGATCCCCGCCAGCCGCGGTATGCTGGCCAGGGTAAGGTGAAGCAGGCAATGTTTAGGGCACCTTTTCTAGCCCCCTCCTCATTCTACGGAGGTGAGCAGTGCAATCCTGAATAGGGCTGCTCAGTCGCTCAAGAAGATGCCGAGCTCCACTGCGGCTTCGGTCAGTGAGGAACGACCATTATGCCTGAGCCGCCTATGTGCAGGTCCGCGGCTACAGCTCCCAGTGTATCCACACCTGCTGCTTCGTCGCTCGCCCATCGCCACAGGACTTGATATGATGTAATATGATATGATATGATGTCGAGACTTGCGTGTGAATTGGATTAAAGTGAGGGAGAGTTGCACAACATCAGCCTCACTCTCTCTTCCCAGTTCCTATCTGTATCCAGTGGCAGGACAGAAGTCGAGACGGCTGGAGATAGGACAGGGCGCAGAGGATGACCAGGACACCTACGTGTCTTGTCGTGCTCTTAAGCGTTCCACAACGCTTGCTGTCACCGCCTTCCTGACCATTAAACCAGGTTGAACCAGGTGGCCTCAGTCAGCCGGATCCAGCCTTCGCATGCAATGGGTAGACAGGCCCAAACTCACCGAGAGTCTCATACTCATCGGTTACTCTCACCTGGTTTAGCCCGCCAGTCAAGATGGTCTCTGGGGTGTGGCCGCTGTCGCATGCTGACAGCTACTTGGAGCCACAGGTGAGAGCTGGGTGTCAAGTGGGGACCAAAGTGGATGAGCTACTCCTAGGAGTATGGCGGCTCCCCCATCAGAGGTACTACCTCTCCCTGACAACCCCATGTGTACAAAGGGTACACATTTGGTGAATCAAGGGAACGACGTTATTAAGGGCACAATAGCAAACTACCTCTCCCTGACAACCCCATGTGTACAAAGGGTACACATTTGGTGAATCAAGGGAACGACATTATTAAGGGCACAATAGCAAACTATCCCCCTGCGTAGGAAGATAGGAAGTATGGCAAGAGACCGCAATGACTTAAAAATCAAAAAAGGATCCTACAAAAAGTGCAATCAAGGTAACATTACAAAAGGAGATATATAAGCAAATAATACATGTATCTAGGGGCAAAATTAGAAAGGCCAAAGCACAAAAGATCAAAATAACTAGAGACAAAAGGGTAACAAGAAAACATTCTACAAATACCTTAGAAACAAGCGGAAGACCAAGGACAGGGCAGGTCCGTTACTAAATAATAAGAAGAAATGTGGAAATGGCAGAGTTGTATAAAGACTTATTTGTTTCGGTTTTCACCAAGACAGTTAGTGGTGTTTGGACATGTAACATAGAGAATGCCAGTGAAAATGGGATAGGTTCAGATGCTAAAATAGGGAACGAACAAGTTAAAAGTTACTTGGACAAGTTAGATGTCTTGAAGTCACAAGCGCGGAATGAAATGCATCCTAGAATACTCTGAAGGAACTGACTTAGGAAGGATCTGAGCCATTAGCTATTATCTTTGAAAAGTGATGGGAGACGGGGAGATTCCGGAAGACTGGAAAAGAGCACATATAGTGCCTATTTATAAAAAGGGAAATAAGGGACACCCAGGCAATTACTGACCAGTCAGCTTAACTACTGTACCAGGTAAGATAATGCTGCAATTTATTAAGGAATCAATTTGCAAACGTCTAGAAGATAATGAAGTGATAAGTGATAGTCAGCATGGATTTCTCAAGAACAAAACATGTCAAACCAACCTCATAGCTTTCTTTGACAGGGTAACAAGCCCTGTGGATGCGTGGAAGCAGTAGATGTGGTATCTTTAAACATTGTTACAGCTTTTGATACAGTCTTACATAAGTGGGAGGAGGGATAGCTCAGTGGTTCGAGCATTGATCGGCTAAATCCAGCATTGTGAGCTCAATCCTTGAGGGCACCACTTAGGGATCTGGGGCAAAAATCAGTACTTGGTCCTTCCTAGTGAAGGCAGGGGGCTGGACTCAATGACCTTTCGAGGTCCCTTCCAGTTCTATGAGATAGGTATATCTCCATATTTTTTTTAACTTTCTCATTACTAAACCAGGGAAATACCACATAGATGGAGCTACTATAAGGTGGATGCATAACTGGTTGGATAACCGCTCCCAGGGAGTAGTTATCAATGGTTCACAGTTATGCTGGAAGGGCATAACAAGTGGGGTTCCGCAGGGAGCAGTTCAAGGTCCAGTTCTTTTCAATGTTTTCATTATGATTTAGATCATGGCATAGAGAGTACACTTATGTTTGCAGATAAAAAAGTTGGGAGGGGTTGGAAGTCTTTGAGAATCGGATAAACATTCAAAATGATCTGGGAAAACTGGAGAAAATGATGATTAGAGGTCTTGAAAACATGACCTATGAAGGAAGAATGAAAGAGATAGGCTTATTTAGTCTGAAAAGGAGAAGACTGAGGGGGGAAATGTTAACAGTTTTGAAATACCTAAAACGTTTTTACAAAGAGGGAGAAAAAGTGTTCACTTTAACTTCTGAGATAAGAGAAGAAGCAATGGACTTAAATTGCAGCAAGGGAGGTTTAGGTTGAACATTAGAAAAAAATGTTTCAAAAAAGACAAATGCAGTGTTCAGTTATATTAGCAGAAATATCACATGCAAGTCATGGTACGAGATAGTATTCCTCTACTCGGTGTGTGTTAGGTCTCAGTTGGAGTAATGTGTCCAATTTTCAAAAAGAACAGGAGTACTTGTGGCACCTTAGAGACTAAAAATTTCCACTCCATACGGCTAAATGCAGTGCCTTGCATAATG